AGACTCTCAGTGATTAACAATAGTTTGATGACGACTCTATGAATCCGTTTCGGATTCTAATCCAAGGCAATTTACTCGAGTTTGTTATTTTCTTAATGACCGTGAATTTTTGTCGTACCATCTTTAAACTTCGAACAAGCAAGTTTATGTTAATGAATGATTGTATCGATTGGATGATGCCTGCCTGCCAGGAAAGTGGAATGCTTAATTGTGTCTGTGTGAGTATAATTTAAGTGAACAGCTCATTTGTTTTATTCAACTGTGTATGCACACATTGAAAAGAAGCAATTTGTTCGTGTCTAAATGAGAATATAGTCATTGAAAAATATGAGAATTCAAGCGATACATTCCCATGGCCACCACATTCATCCATTCGTTCATATATCCAGCGCTCGAAATCTCACACAGTTGAAACTCATTATAAATATCACGCCAACTTTTATTATTTTTCAAACTTTTCTCGCAGATTAGTTTCTATTCAAACTCAACCACTGTTGACATGACCAACAACGATTCTTCAGCATTGTTCTACATGAAGTACCCTTGTAATAGCAGCAACAGCAGCAGCATCATTCATCACCTACGACTGACTCTAATTCAAAATCTCAATTCGAACGATCGCCTGCCTCTGTCACTATCGCTTGTCATCACATTTGTTTTCACAAACGATGCATGCAAATTACGACTGACTATTTTAATAACTTTTTTTAGTTTTACTTTCAATTTCTAAAGCGATAAGAGAATACTTTTACACGGAAATCCATTAGTGAATGAATCTTAATGAACTCGAATCACTAATGCTGTCTGGCTGGCTTCAGTTTCTGAAACGATGCCACCCTAGGTTGCGTCGAAGGCAATTATCAATTGCTTCATTCCATGCATTGCTTGCACTTGATGAGTGGTTTGTAAAAACTACTGCTATCTCTTTTGCAGATTGATGACTACTTACCATTTTCAATTCTGATCCATGATGGAGATCAAATCTATTGAATAGAATCATGCTGAATGNAGACTCTCAATGATTAACAATAGTTTGATGACGACTCTATGAATCCGTTTCGGATTCTAATCCAAGGCAGTTTATTCGAGTTTGTTATTTTCTTAATGACCGTGAATTAGTTTCTTTCGGTTACACGAGCCTTTTCTTGCTTTGTATCTTCTTAACTCTTGCTGCTACGTAAACTTTCATTTTGATCATAAGTACCACTTCATGTTTATGAGTCGTTGTTGTCGTCTTTTTACATTGCATTAGATTTTGTTCATTTGGATTTGCAACAAGCAGCGTTCAAGCGTTAGAATATGAAAACTTCAATGAATTCTTCGAGGCATGTTTAAATGGCCGATGGCATTGCTTGACGACGTTATATTAGCACCGTAATTTCCCAAAGGTGTTTCTGTTCATACGATACTACGTTCGTTTGATATTTTCGTCTCAATGAACTGATCCGCTGCAAAAATGTACTTCGAGATTGAATTTGGTATTTCATTTTCATTCGTTTCAATGCGCCTCACTTTATTGTTCAGCAGTACGATTTTCTTTTCAATTTTCTTCACACACTTTGCGCATTCATCACTAAAATCATTGACCGCATTGACTGCGATGAAGTGACACGACTGATTGTCTGCTCTATCTCAACATGATTTCTTAAATCTATGAGTTCAAGCAACATAAGCTCAAACGTTTAACTGGCTGAAATCATTTCCACANGAGTGGAATTTTCACTGAATGCTGAATAATTTTGCAGTGTATATATATATAGCAGAAGTTTGGTTGAGAGCAAGTCGGCTAGTATGCGTGCAGGCATGATGCCCTTTGAAAATTCATCACCATTATATGATCGTTATGCTAATAGTGAGTTGTTGAGCGAAAGAAATTTGCTCAGCGATAACTTTGCAGCAAAAAATGTATGATTCCACGAAAAAAAAATTTGCATCGAATTCATCAGCTATTCATGGCACATTAACGAATTAAAAACGATACACGTTGAGTAATAAGACACTTTATGCAGTTTGTCACTGACTGTGACTTCTTCCAGATATCCATCGGCGCATAAGCGAAATAACTTCAGTAACTTCAGTAGCATCTAGTGAGTGCGACGGCGACGATACGATACACACACATGCACACACAGCCTGTGGCGTCATGGAAAAATGCCCTTCAGAGAGCTCATAAATTTTGATAAGGTGCTGCTGCGCTTGATTGCTGCTGCTGCTGCTTGGATATTCTTAATAAGTTTTACTGCTGCTGCTGATTATGAGAAGAGTAATTGAAGAGTTTGGAGTCGAGAGTTGTTGAGTGCTTAGTAATCATCGGTTGAAGTATTGCGCTCTTGTTGGTTGTTTCGATGAGGTACGTACGTACGTCGACCATGGAATAATTGAATTCTGCCGTTGGATAGCAGCAGTCCTAGTCAACGCAAACTAACAACCAACATGCTACTCCAGCAGCACGTAACATCCAACCTCCCCTAACACATACTTCTGTCCACTTCACTTTCCTCATTCTCATCCCTCCAGGATCACCGCTTAAATGAAGTTAGCTAGTTGGTCAACTCGCGATCAATTGCTGCTGCAACTGACATAATTCAAATTTTGGCATTTCCGTCATAAAAACATCCACAATTTATTGAACTGAACTGAACCGAACTGAACTGAAATAGAAGTATCGTAAATATCCTGGATATTCTTCTTCGGACGCTCTTGCGATGTTGCGTGATAAGGTAGGTGTAAGATGTAATTGTTTCACACTTTCATGCTCTTACAACTAGATTGTTGACCTCGAGAATGTTGTAATTGTTGCGTGACGATGTTGAAAATTCTTGAGATCGACGACGCGCAACCAAATTATTTCACTGACAATGAATGACCAGGTGAGCATTGCTCTCAATGAATATATTATAAACGTTCACTAAAAATCCAGAGTGACGAACAACCACTTCAAAACATTTAGCTTCAACAAAACACTTGAATTCAGCATGCAAAACGCCGCCATCATTACCATTGAATTCACTCGTTGCATTGTTTGAACATTCAGAAAAAAACAACGCAAATTCTGTCCAGTCTATGGGCACCTGTTAATTAGCGTGAATGCACATTGTTTTAGCTGTGTGCTAAATATTTGAAAAGCTTTCTACTTCTAACAATTCAAACAATCGTTTGTGTGCATTTTTGTTCAATCGAAATGCGTCAAAAGGAATTTTTCGTTTGTGGTTTATTTTAAAAGAACGATTATTTCTCGTGTCTTAAATGGTTAATTTTCGATGAGCATCTGTTTCGATGCGACAAAATCATTATTTCGTATCTCGACAGTCAGTTTTCAAAGTTGTCAAATGCACTTCGCCAGCAGTCTCCTCGAAGAATTCCGATTGCTTCTGATGAACGTCATTGTGAATACGACAAAAAAAAAAACAGAGTTAGGTGGTTGGGTTGGATGCAGATGCAGCAGAATCTGTGAATTACATATAATCACTTACAACGAAATGCACACAAATTTGTAGCTATAAATGCATTTCTCTTACTATTAATAATTATTTCCCCGTATCTAATTATTTCTGCGCCATTCCTATTGAAACGATGAATGATGAACCGTAATAATCACTGTTGTTCGTTCTCCTCCTCACGAGACTCGATCTGAGAGCTGAGCAAATCTAATTGGTGACAACTCAGTGATATTGACTTGGTGCGTACCTCTTTTCAAGTCAATTTCCTCAATCGAAATATATTGTTGCAGAAAATTCAGTCGAAATGAGAGGAGGAAAATGAAATTGCCAAATAA